AATATTTATACACCTTCACTTCTTCCAGTTCCTTCCCTTTCCATCTCCACACCATCTTCCTCTGCCTCCCACCCCCCTTTCTACACCTCATAACTTTGATCTTTTCAACATTCACCTCCAATCCTTTCTGTTCAACATATTTTTCCAACGTCTTTATCATATCTTGCATCCTTACTTCCTCCTCCGCTACAACCGCCACATCCGCATATGCCAACGAGAATATTTTTCTCCCCTTTACTTTCACTCCTCTCCATCCTTCTTTTTCTAGCTCCTCGTCCAAATCCGCCAACAACAAAGTGAATAGACAGGGGCTCAGCGGACACCCCTGTCTTACCCCCTCCCCGTCCAAAAGATTCCCCCAACCCTATCCCCCACTCTCACTCTACTCATTGTCTCTTCTAAAACCTCCTCACACCTCACGATCAGACTCTCCCTAACGCCCATCTTCCTCATCGCCCGTACAAGAATCTCTCTATCCACCGAGTCAAACGCTGCCTTCATGTCTACGAACATCACAATCATCTTAACTTTCCTCTCCGCCACTCTCTTATTTATTAGATAGTTCAAAACATATATTTGGTCTATTGTCCCTACCCCTCTCCTAAATCCTGTTTGGCTCGGTGGTAGCAATCCCTTACTTTCCACCTCTTCACTTAACCTCCCTGCCAGGACCGTGACATACACTTTGTACGCCTTTGCGTCAAAGTGATTCCCCTATACTCCTCCACCTTCTCACCCTCCCCCTTTTTCACTATCGGTACTACAATACTCTCCCTCCACTCCTCCGGCCATCCCTTCCCTTTCCAGACCTTGTTATAAAGGGTGTATATCAGTTGGACACGGGGCAATTGGACACAGTCCAATCACAAGTCGCTGTTCCAAGGGACCCTACAAATGTCTCTAATCACACGGTGCTGTGATTGGCTGTGTCCAAATGCACCGTGTCCAAGTGCACCGCTCCCGTTATAAATCTCCCACAGCCATTCCCTGATTTCTTTTACCCCATGCTTCCACACTTCATTTACTATCCCATCCCCTCCCGCCGCTTTTCCCTGCTTCAACTTCCTTATCGCCCCCCTAATTTCTTTCCTGCTTATCCCTTCCTCCTTCTCTTTCCCTCTACTTCTCACATCCCCTCTTACCCTCCACTCAACCCCTCCCATTACTCCTCTAAAGTTCCTTTCCCATTCACTCATTTCAATCCCTTCCCTTATTCTTCTTCTCTTTTTCCTCCCCTTATTCACCACCCTCCATACATCTCCTTCTGACCTTACTCCTTGCAATTCCCTTTCCCACCTTTCTTCCTCCCTTCTCTTCTTCTCCTTACACAGCACTCTATACCCCTTTCTCCTCTCCTTAAATTTCTCACCCTCCCCCCCCCTCTCTACCTCTTCCTTTTTAACTCCTCCTCTACTTCTCTTTTCATCTCCCTACACTCCCTATCCCACCATCTTCTCTGCTCCTCTTTCTCTTCTCTCTCTCTACTCTCTCCAAGGCAACTTCCACCCTTCTCTTCAGCTTCTTCTATCCCTCTTCCACTCTCTCACCCTCGCCGTCCCTCTTCCCTACATATTCCTCAAACTTTCTCCATCCCTCCTCCGTCCACACCCTCCCCCCCTTCCTCTCGCCTTTCCTTTCCCAGACCTCACCTCCCTACACCCTCCTCCCTCCACCCATACCGTTATCGGCTGGTGATCGGAGTCCACTCAGTCCTCCACCTTCCGTCTCGTCTCCTCATTTCCAATCACGAAATCTATCACCGTCCCCCCTTTCCCTCCCGTATACGTCAATTCCCCTCCTCGTCCCCCTTTGTGCTTCCATTCAATATCGACCATCCAAGTTCTTTTATATACCCACACAATCTCCTCCCCTCTCTATTCATCTTTTCGTCCTTCGAGTTCCTCACTCTCT